TTTAACTTTTTTTCCACTCTGCAAACCTTCAATTATCTTTAACGGATTTCGACTTTAATTGACAGTGCACCTGTTACTCATTATAACTTCATGCAAGTAGGCCTACAGATCATACGTATATTCCTCTCGACTGCTCTGTCTGGATCTGCACCGGGGGGTTCAACTGCAAAAGTCCTAACAGCCAAGAAGCAATAAATGTCGCCTTTATGAACAGCCATTCTCTTCCTGCCCCCAATTTTGACAGCATCCGGCGGCACACTTCTTAAAGTTCTGTTCTTCTTTCATCAGAAAGCCAGTGGGTGAGATGGTACAAGCAGCGCCAAGCAGTCAAGTCACACAGCAAGCTCACCAGCACTCAAAAGCGTATCTGTTTTATCGCATCCATGAAATATATAGCGGGATTGTTTTAATTTCTCTCTAATTCATGAGCAGTTGTGTGATAATGAGCCAGCCGCCATAATACAGGCTACATAAAACCATGATGCTCTGATTATCCTGGAGGCTACGCGACAATTGCTCCATTTTGTCACAACAGAAGGAAAAGTCAATTTGAAGGGGGGCTGCCATGGGCTTATAATTGGGGAATCCACCCATGGGCTGTTCCTGAGATACTACTAACAGTGAGGTGGAAATTACATCTGCTCTATAACCCTGACAATGAAGATGTTAATAAAATAAGATATAAAAATAATATTGCTTAAAAACGGCAATACTTTTTAAATTGTCTTTTTATAATGAATAAAGTCTTTCATCTCTATTAAAAACGAGAACACTTCATGGTAAATTATTATTATTATTACTAACACCTTCATAACAATATGCATTTCATTAGATTAAATCAATAAATCAAGTATCAGAAAACAATGCACAAATAAAGATTTTTTTGACATTGTATTTCTTTTCTTAAGATTAACTTTCATGAATAAAAATACATGGGGTCAAGTCAGTTAAAAACAAAAAAGTTTTGGAGAGTTTTTGTAGCGCTGTAACGAGTCTGATTTACGTGGCCCCTCGACTCGAACCCATAGCAACCGCAGACAAAGACCGGAGGAGGTTTACTGGGGTTGTCCTCTGATCTGTCTCCATTTCAAATTAAGAGTCAGCTCGAAGTCTCCGGTTATTCAGAGAAAACTATCCTTCACTCAGGCACACATTCAGTATTCTGGCCAAACAATAGCACACATGAACGAAGTCATCTTTTTAACAGCGAAAGAAAAAAGGAGCATTAAAAATGCTATGAGTATTAGGAAATATGGAACATTACTGAAAATTACTCTTTCAAATGCACTTATACTACAATAAAACTCACGTTTGATTGTGACATCAAGGTGTGCGATGTATAAAACAAGTTCTTTTTTTAGTCCTGATGAAGGCCTGTGCGCCGAAACGCGTTGGCAAAATAAAATTACTTTTTTAACTCCATCTTTTGTTTGTTCTGACCCCTTGACGTCACAAGTGTATAGGCCTGTCCAAAAATAACTGTTCTTTTTTCCCCCACGCACCTTGCTGATCGTGTGAGGTTGCACTAGAACAATTACACAACATAAAAACAAGATTTCTGACTGTCCCTAGTTTATATATAAAAGTAACATTTAAAATCATTGAATTAAATAACCCACTAGATTTTTTAAAACGTTGCATTGCATCTAAAATAAAGAAAAACCCAAGTCATACCCATTCTCTCTCTCTCTCTCTGTGTAGGTGTAGGTCTATCTCGAATACTTTTTGTAAGGAATAAAATAAAGTTTGCAAAGATATTTGAAACGGTTTTAAAAGACGTTTAAATGGATAAAATGCAGACATGACAACAAAAACGTGGACATAACAGCATAATTCACGCCCATTATTAAAGTTTGGCTACTATAATCATCCCTAAGGGTGTGTTTAGTAAGTTAATATTCCAAATGCAATAACAATTTGTATTTTAGTGTTTTGTTAATACTTTCCCTAAAGAACTAAATGCATAAATTCAATTTATTTATTATCTTAAAAGTCACCGAAAGCTAGTTATTTGCGTCGCATCTGCACCTGTTTTGCACAGTGGTAAACGTTTTTCTGTTAATGATATTCCAGCAAATTCAAAAGTCGCGTTAGCCTAGACATTTTACAACATTACTAGTTCAATTTTCACTCATTACCCCCAAATGCCAATAAATTCCATTTCATTTCAATTACATATTATTTCCAAAATGATTCCTACCTGCTCTTGTTGTAAACGATCGTTTTATTGCAGGGGAATTATCTTTGTTGAAATGAGTTTGTCATATATTGTCTAGTAAAAGAATGAAGTCATTATTGGGAGATCCCTTGGCGAGAAATTAGGCGAGCAAAAGTCTCCCTGCCACACGGGTCCCATTGAGATTAATGAATAATATGTAAAACGTTTCCTTTTAATTTTCCTCTAAAAGCACTTTGCATACATGCATTTTCTCTGCTGGGTTGATATCAGATAATTTATGAGAGCAATCTCAGCACATAACCATCAGGACCGTGTTTCAAGCCTAATTGAGTGCTGTCAAGATTAGGTAAGGTCCTATTCGTGTTAATTGTATTGTACTCTCTTTGGGAATACTAGTAAATGTATTTAAATAATTCCGCCTTGTGAGCTGAACAGATTATGTCAATTTACACAGGCATAATAGAAATGTCATGAAAAATGACAAAGAAGTGGGAGGAAGTAGCATTTCAGTGTCCGCAAATCCATTAAACCCTGAATCTTTGGCTACACAGATCAGTTTCAACATAATTAATAAAATGAATGGTGCCTTTATTGCATGGATCAGGCTTAACTGCATTGCTGAAAATAAATTTACTTCTCCAAAAAATTATCACAAAGACAGTAAAGGCACAAAACCCCACAAAGTAAGGGGCAGTCAAAAAAGTTTCATATCAATCGACAATCAAATAGCCTATCTAATCTCACTTATTTTCTACAAAGGCTTAGGTGACTGAAGTTCAGAGGTCATTATCTAAGCTCTTTTGTGTGCATGGGTGGTGTTAAAGGGACAGTGCACCCAAAAATGAAAATTGTCATCATTTACTCACCCTCCCAACCTGTATGACTTTATTTCTTCTGCAGAACATGAAAGAAAATACTTTGAAGAATGTTCAAACAGTTTGTCCATATAACTGAAGTCAATGGGGTCCAAAACAAAACACCTTTTTTGCACACACTGTCTTATGCACTCAATGTGCAGCTCAGATACTATTTATGTAGTAAAAAAAAACAAAAACAAAAAGCAAAGAAACTACCCCCCCACCCAAAAAAACACAAAAAAATCAACAAACAAAACTTACAAAAAAAAAATCACCAAAAAAAAACGCAAAACAAGTTCGACAAGCCCTCCAAAAAAAATCAACAAAGCAAAATAAAAAATAAAACACAAAATATAATCAACAAAGCAAAATAAAAACAAAAAATATAATCACAATACAATAAAACCAAAACAAAATCAAGCAAAACAAAAATCAACAAACAAAACAAAACACACACACACACACACACACACACACAAATAAATAAATAAATAGATAAAAAGATATCATTTCTTTTGGGTGAATTTTGTATAATAGCTCAATATTTCTGTTCCTATAAGTTGTGTTTGAACAAAATACAAGCAAATTTAAAAATGTAGCTAAATAAATGTAGGATGGCTCTAGATGAATCTCATCTCATTGGCCTACTGACCTATGGTCTCAGGCTCTGATGAGAATCTTGAAGACATGCTTAAAGAGCGCTTACAGCAAAAGGGCTTGTCTGACATGAGCCCAAAAAGACGATTCTAAAGAAAATGAAAAATAAATGAGTGCAAAAGGCAGATAGCATGGAAGAGGGGGTGGCAGAGAGGTGTGGGCTGGGTGCCAGGTCGTCAGCTTACTGTCGGGCCCTTTGGGCCGCTCACAGCAGCGGCTTCCATCTTTCTGTCTGCATCCCGAGGCTGGCACAGAGCTCGGGCAGAGTCGCTTGCTACAGACACTATTGATCACGCCATATTCAGTCCCACTTTATGCAGAGGCCTCTATTACCATAGTGACCAACTGAACCATCAACCATTCCCCCCACCCCAGACAAATCCATCCCAGACATTTCTGCCAAATATGTCATCAGCTCAGGGGAGACCAGCAGCAAGGAGCGGGAACATAGCATACTATTCATGACAAACAACATAAAAAACAACAACAACAACGCCCTCAAGGGTGGAAAGGATGGTCATTCATTGGGAATGATATCCTGGAGTTTTATTTCAAAAGAGACATTCTTGACAAAGTGTGTGTGAGGAACACTAGTGAAATGGACAACAGCGGCACGTCTTTTGAGCACTTGGCTATGCTAATGGTGACTTAGAAGCTGGACGGAGAGATGGGAACCACTGACCGGGAAACAAAGCCATGGAAAACTGCTGATATTTACATAGAGCGAGCCCTCGTGGAGCCCTTTGTGTACGTGTTTGTGAGTGAGCGTGTGGCACACCGTGTAGAGCTTACGCCAGGCTGCAGACACATTCAAGCCTTGTCCTGAAGAACAAACTGGCTTGCTGAGACCCCTGAAACAAAGGCCTACAATTTAGAGCGGGCTCACAGGCTCATTCACTCAGTGTTGGTTTTAGTAAATTTGCGGCGGCTTCTTGGCAAATAGCGCTTTGATGTTCCGGGGCCTGGAGGAGCCTTCAGGCTGAATGGAAGCTCGACGGCAGGGCAGCTCTGTTTGTTTGCCCTTTCGTTGGGCACGCACAACCTTTACCACGGCCAATCGTCTGCCCTGACACCAGAGAGGCAGGGGGCGGGCATGACACACACACACACACACACACACACACACACACAAATGCAAACTAATACATAAAATGGTAATGCACCAGGAATTTCAGAAGACAAAATAATCAACATATCAGCTAGAACATCATCTCTGTTGCTGGTTAAACAAATGCACAGGTCGTTTTTAGCTCTTGATGTGAAGTGCACAGCACAATGGTGCAAATTCTGAGGAACTCAGGTTTGGCTCACTTTCCCTGAACAGTTGAAGCCATCGTGACAATGTTCTGAGCTTGCTTCAGAGATGGCATGTCAATCATACTGCCATGAAAGGTGAAAGCCCCCTGAGGAGAAGCGAACAGAACACTGGTTGAATAAAAATAAAGGCAAATAACCTACTACATAGCTGCAATGCATGTATGACACTACAAAGAAGAATAGGATGGTTATTCATAAATTCCCTAGAGAAAATCAAGAAAAGAGGAGACAGTCCATGTATATAATACATATATAATTTTTAATTTTTTTTGGTAAGGAAAGTATTTATTTAAATGCTTTTGTTATTGGTTTGTAGTGAATCAATAATGTCCTGTTAGCTTCCAGTCTAAGTCTGTTTTATTCAAGGTGGTTGGGAATTTGCTAATGCGTTTTAAAAAAAAGCCTAAGAATCATGAGAATGAAAATTGAAATTTTCTTGACAGATGCAGGAATTAGTGCTGGAAGTCATTTATTTGCATGCTAAATATTCCTATTCATTACGCAACTGTGCTAAGCCAGATATTTAAATCAGCCTACCCAGTCCTAACCTCTTAAGAAGAAAGAGTTTCAATAATTACTTGACATATGCATCAAAGAAACTAAATATGCAGCTAAGCTGCATCCTAAATGTAATGTAATGGTAGTAGAATGTCTAAAAATGACATGTTGAGAAACAGTAAAACCTCAGGTGGGTACTTTGCAAACATTTTCTGTAACAAATCTGCAAGGAGATTGAAGAGGGCATAGAAATATACAAGAAAACGCAAAATAAATCGAGCAACTGTGTCCCGGAATTTCAGCTTGTGAGCAAAGAGCCGAATGGGGAGAGTGTCGCTGATGCACCCCCAGGCCATCCTTAGCATAAGAATTACTGGCAGATTGTACATTACTAGCACATCTCAGACACGCACAGCCCTATCGAGCAGAAAACACAGGACTCAATGATGCACTAAATTAGGAACTATAATATTCAACACCTCATTTGATTTTCTCCGACAAAAGCTACAGTGTAGCTTGCATCATGGAGGACATCTTGATGCTATATCAGGCTGGAAAATAATACAAATCGCTATGTGGAAACTCAGGAACTACTGAACGTGCACCTTTCCCAACTTCTGATGCTCCTCGAAAGCAGCGATCAGCTCCGTGGCCCACTTGATTCTCTCTGGACTGGGGGCAAATTCATCTTGAACAACCTTGATCTGGTTGGGGTGAATCACTTGTTTTCCTAGAAAGAAGTGCAACAAGCAAACAAATTAATCCCTAACAACATAACAATAAATAAATAAATATTCCAAGTCTCAGTAAAAGTAAACAAATAAAGACATAAAATAAAATCGTTAAACACCCATACTTAAGTAACTTTTTTTTTAAACCACCGATTATAACATGTACAGGCCAAAAATTACAAACTACAATTCTGTAAAAATAGAAAAAAAAAAAACATCACCTAAGATTATTCTTAAGATTATTCTTAATTAAAGGGCTTTGCTCCAGAGAAACAAAGGCACTGGAGGGTATTTGCTCTTCTTTATCCAGTACAGCTCCCTGACCAAGAATGATTTTAAGGGACACAGCAGGGACAGAGGATGCTATGAATTATGGGTGTCATCCCGATTTTCGCCTCATGCCCCGCTGAACTCTGAAACTTTACTGCACGCTTAGTTACACTCCAATCTGAGGCAGCCTGCTTTTATTACAGGCCTGTATGAGAGCCACACACATGCAGACCCCTCAACACACACACACACACACACACACACACACACACACACACACACACACACACACACACACACACACTCTCA